AACCAATTAACGTCAAATAATTACCTAATACTCGATCTTAATGAAAAGACGCGTGATGCGAATGAAGCTTCACACTTGATATTGTCGTTTGACTTGATGGCGTATTACTTATTGGACAGTAATTGTTTCGGATGGATGTCGGACGGAGGACGATAGTAGCCCCCAGACGCTGTAGGTACCAACTAAGCCACGGAACTTATACTTTAACTTTTTTTATTTTAAACTAAGTTTAGGGTTTGGATGTATTTTTTATAGACCGTTAACGTATTTCATCACAGATGTTCTAAATCTCCGAGTCCCATTTTATTTCTTATAGTAACTTAGTTCCGCAAAATTTTCATCCGTTTAATAGTCTTCGTGTTTCGTTTCTTACATTTTTCTTACAAATTTTCTGCCTAAACTTTTAACGTCCAAACTTGGACGCAATCTACTTCAAAAAAGAAAGGTCCAGAACTGTAAAAAGTAATAATAATATTAATAACCAAAAGGAAGAGTTCGGACCACAAAACCGCAAGAAAAATTTGTTATTGTCATTCGAAAAATATATAAATGGGCCCTAGGTCAGTTAGAAGGAAACATCATGACTCATTCTATTGAAATCAAATATCAGAAGCGAAAGCGGCATGACAAAAGACACGCATTCTATTCAGTTTTTTTCACACACTACTTGGAGTCAGTGGTTTGGACGGCTCCAACGGTGGAACAAGCTGCGCATTCTTCCGATAAAATAGCAATACTGTAACATGACCTCATAGTACGACGTTTCTATTCTCTATAACGTGCTGACTGACTCATTCATAGTTAATGTTTAAATTAAACTTCTGGGGTAATGGAACGGATTTGTTAACAAATTACCATTACAGACACATCTTTTCAAGTTTATCTAAAAAAGGTCGCGTTTCTATCACGTTATTTTAATTCTAGAAAGGAAGTTTCCAAGGTAACGTTTTCACTGTTATTTACTAAAATTGTTTTGATGATGGTAGGGTATGATGTAACAGGCTGGGGTCCGCAACTCGACATAGTCAGTCGCTTATTTTGCGTGTGGTGGGTGCAGGGTCCTACTCGTGCCACTCCAGACATACAAGATCCTCCAGAAATTTCAGCACCCTCTTGGGCTTACTAAAGATTCCGGGGATGCTTTTGATGGTTATATTATATTAGCATTTTTATATTCTAGTACTTATTTTCATGTTTAGTAACGTAGTAGGTATAAAACTTACCTACCTTGTATCAAGCGTAAACTTATTTCGATCTTATGTTTAGTTAACGTCCAAGCGCCTTTGTCTTCTTCGTAGAAGGTATCCAGACGCCGCTTAGATACACGTCAAAGCCATCAATTATCGCTGTCTTTACTGTAATGGTGTAACTTACACTAGTTTAGCGCTGTTATAAGTTCATTGCTACCACTTAGCTCATCTCGTTCGACCGTACGCGTGCGCTTGCGCTCCTCTTTCTTTAGCGCGAATCGTGATCTAGTTATTTGTAATCAATTGTGTGAATTGTCTCACACTGACGCGAGACGTGCCAGGTACGAAAGGCAAGCAAACGTTACGATTTTGAGCTTAGTAGCAACTCTGTGAGAAGCTGAGTGAGACTATATGAATGTTCAAAGGCCTATAATTATTTGCATCCAAGCTCAAAAAATATTTACTATTTTTATGATACCAGGTGACGTATGTATACATATTACATTTTATTATTCCGTGATTACATGGAATTCCAGGCACATGGGACTTGTCAACTTACGTCTCAGGGGACCGAGACATGGCAGTGCCCCTCAGATCTTTCCGATTTAAAGCTTATAGTGGCACCGGAAGTGACAGCAGTTCCAGTGGTAGGTATTAAGTAGTACAAGTAGTATAAACCGATATGCTTGTCTATAGGGACAAGCATATCGCTTGCTAGCAGGCGCACGACATGTTCATCCCGTCACTTGTATCGTAAAATAATAATAATAAAGTTTATATCGAGTTCTTAGGTTTTCGCGATTGTTACACATAGGAAATGAAACTATTTTTCCGGATTTAAATCGCGTATATTTGTTTTTTCAAACAAACCTTTTCTTTGGTTTGTTTGCAAAAACAAATATTCGCGATTTAAATCCGGAAAAATAGTTTCATTTAATAAAGTTTATGTTACACCAGCTTCTACTACCATCCAGACAATAAATTACCCATCCGTCAAATTTAATCCAAAGCCTTTAAACTATTTGAATTTGTACTACGAATCCAAATTTTCAATTCAAGTCAACATTATTAAAGTGAAATTATACGTTTGTGCCACTGCGCTGCAACAGAATCGCGAGCATCTGAACAATTTGGAAATTAAACTAAATTTTTTTCGGATCTAAATCGCGTAGGTAATCACCTCGTTTTTTAAAACAAACCAACGTTTTCTTTGCGTCATATCGCAACCGCGAAAGCCAGAGAACCTGGTTAATAATATTAATTGCAATACAAAGGAAGTTTATTTTTTATCCTGGGTACGTCGTCGAAGAGCAGATTTTTTGGTTTTTTGTTGCTCCTCTTTGCCTATTCTTTCAATGCGTAGACAGGGAATAAATAAATAGTCATGCCCAAATATACGTAATAGATACAAAAGTGAAATACTTTCCTTTAGAATCGACAATACAAAATATTTAATTCCGCTCAGCGAAATGGTCAGTCATTTGATAGCTGAATAGGAGCGTTCAATCCGAGAAACGACTGTCCGAATTGTCACAGGGATCATTTTATGTTTAGGTGGTGGTTTACATGCGATATTCGTATTTTCTCAGATTTGAATAGAATGTGGCACGAGCGACGTCCGAATTGGGTCCGAGTCTTCTAGATTTGTATAGCTCTTTTGATTCGGAGAATACGAATGGGGTGCAATACGCAAATGCGCTAAACACGTGCGCTGCAACCGACCTCATGTCGCGTAATTTAGTCATTCGTGGCCAATTTGGATTTTTCGGTCAGCAATATTGAGGTAATATTGTAATTGAGAGAAAGTTTGGCAAAATTATTGCACGAGATCGAGTGATTTTAGGTAAGATTTGTTAAAATTACTTTATGTCCGTAAATAAAATAAATGTTGTGTGTAAAACGACAGATAAGTAAAGTAACAATATAGTTTTGGACCCTGTACGGGTCCGGTACGGGCGACTACAAAATAATATTATGTCTTAGCTGACGTCGTTCCTAATGAGCGTAGGTACCTACATAATACAAATCTGTAGGGCACCGGTAAACGCGTTGCTCTGCTTTGACGCTTGGAGAAGTGGCAGTAAGTAATAATAATATATAATAATAATAGTCATAATCCCAATTGTTTGGCCCGTGAACGGGTTAATTCCAGTCAGCTTGAGGCGGTTGGATTTCTGTGGCACAAATGCAGAAGGCGGTCTGCTCGATACGGCACGTATTGTACTCCGGTTCTGGTACAAGAGTCTCTGACCCCGGCCGACTGTGCCAACGCCGAGGAATACCGCTTCTCCCATTTAAAAATTCAAAATTCATCTTTTAGGCTTTGGGAAAGGCAACAGTGTAAAATAAAAACAATAATAATGATATAAAATCTAAAGCGGCTAAAATCAAACCCCACCTTAATAGATTCTTTAGGATTAATATTTGTTCAAAAAGACTTGAGACTGCTGTAAATATATTGAAATCTCCAGACGTTAAACAGCGACTTTTCAAATGGACACCCAAGTGCTATAGAGAAACACTCGTATCCAAAAAGTTTTTCAAAAACCATCATAGTAAAACAGTTTAAGATTGAGTTTTTATTTGAAAATAAGCTTTAAAACGGGTTCTGTTGAGTGACTATCGACTGCACCACTCATGCAATATTCATAGTAACGGCGACTACGGTATCACCTATCGGCGTGCGGCAGCGGCAATCCGGCCGATCAACGCATGCGCCGCATTCCGGCGGCTGATGTTATGCGTTTGCTATATGGTTTTAGGCTACCTGTCTTGCTGGCCCACTCCCGCGGAATGCGGATCACGTAGTCGCCTGACTTGCTCTTAAAATAAGTAAATTTCTCTTTCAAGGGCGTTTTTTAGATGCGGTTATTGCTGCGTAGGCCGTACAGAGATGGGGCATATTTTTTAGTGGATTTCGAGGATTTAGTGAGTAGCAAATAAAATATATCCAGCCAATATATATTGTATTGAAATTTAAGTTATGAATTGTTGCAGATTTATAAATTTAATTACAAAAGATAAAAGCTGCATCAAACGTATGTAATTTTCAAAAGCTCGAGTCTAGTTTTCCGTGTGTCGTCACAACAACGGCGTAGAAAAGAGTCAAAACCAACCAACAACGAAAACTACATTTGTATAATGTGTAAAACGTGTGTCATTACTTGAGCATTAACATGGAGCTAACCGAAGACCGGCAAGTCGGCAACCCACATGAGCGCGGGGTAATGGAGTGTGATCAACTACCGTAGGACAACGGGTCTGTGCGCCGCAGTGGCGTCTCTAACGATTTGATAGCTGTCAGCTTGCTTTCTTTTGAACAACAACAACTATGAACAATACAACAGCAATAGGGTGTCATACAAGTTTATTTCTATCGTTTTCTTATCTCTAATCTTGTACAAATCGAAGAGGAGGTTTGCCGTGTAAGTATACCTAGTGTAACAAGCTGAAAGCCGAACTTCAATTTTCAACGGCTGCATTGTCGTTCGCGGAGCAAGGCCCACTTTCCAACGTATTTCGTGCTCTCTCTGGCGCGGATTTGCATTTGCTCTCAATGTAAATAGAACAACACATTGTCAGACATTTTTCCTTAGACAACCAATCGTCTTATCTGTAGAGGTACTCACCTACTGCAGACATTTAAACCTTGCCAATTACTTACTTAGTTTTCCTAGTTCGCTAGAATTTTACTCATTTACTGAAGTATGACAGATCAACCGCTAAAAGCGTTATGACGTGCAATATTCGTGAGTCAGGGCCTTAGCCCAGGATACAAACAGTGAATACAAGTATTGTCTATAAACTTACCAAATAAACAAGTAACCGCGCCATTTTCGAGTCACCGATAGCGCAATAAACTACGAAGGAGTGCGATCACACACGGAGCTAATCGACAGCGACACGTTCCGCCGCCGTAGTTCACCTCAGTGACAAATTTTTTTTTGATATTTTGAAAAAGTTAACTTTCAATTCAACCATCAGCCAACCACTAAAGCGTTATTTTTTATGTTTTTTTTGGAGGCAGCGGTTTGCGCGCGTTAGGCCAGTGCGTGCGGAAGCGCGACTGTGCCGCAGCGGGCGTCTGGAGAACGGGAAATTGTGACCATTCGGAGAAAGCATTTCACACAGAGTTGTTGGATACCCCAGCACACATAGGTGTTTACGAATGAAATTATTAAAATGTAGATTTAAAATGCCTATTATATTTACACAAGTAAATATAAGTAAATAAATATACTTTAAATGTAGACAATCTGAACATGCAAAATTATGATGAGTTATAAAATTTTGAAAATTTAATTCATTAAAAGAAGAAAAACTAATAATGAGAAAGTAATAGGTAATAAAAATGTAAAATAAATAACGTAAGATTAAATTGAACTTAAAATCAAAAATTAAAATTGAAGACAAAATTTTAACAAAACGACATCATAGACAGAGAAAAATAAAATGAAAGCACAAATTATTTACAAAACCAAAAACACTTACTAACTCAGAGAAAAAAAGAAAAAATGCATAACTTTACCTAAAAATTGTAAAGCAGATATGAAGTAGGTACCTACCAAATGTGGAAGATAAGTAGGTCACGTAAGACTTCTTAAAAGGGGTGGCGTGAATCACTCGCTATATAAACAGTGTGTGTTAATATATACTGTCGCGATCCGATATTAGGCCGTGGGCAAGGCCGCCGCGACTGGTCCAACACATCTCTCTCTTCAACAACTGGATTTCGTGTGGAATAAATGGG